TTCTAAAGTTTTTCATAGTTGTTTTTCTCTGTTATCAATTTTCCTAGCTCTGATCACTTCACTCCACATCAGTTCATGGGTGTCTTCTGTGTCCTCTAAATCCATCCATTTCATAATTTCTTATGGCACAAGTTTCCCATTATATTCATATGCCACAATTGTTTAGCCATTCCAATTTTTGTTCTTTCCATGAAAAGAGCTGCTATATTTTTGTACATATAGATTCTTTTCCTATTTCTTTGAGGTATAGATCTAGCTGGGTCAAAAGGGCATGCACATTTTAGTAACTTTGGGGACACAGGTCCAAATTGCTTTCCAGAGTAGCTTGACCAATTCACAATGCCACCACCAACAGTGCATTAGTATGCCTGTTTTCTGCAGCTGTTCCCAAATTTGTCATCTTTGTCAGTCTAATAGATGTGAGGTAGAACCTCAAAGTGGCTCTAATTTGCACATTAGTGATTTAGAGTATTTTTTCATATGATTATTGATAGCCTGGAATTCATCCTTAGAAAACTTTCTGTTCATATTATTTCAACGTTTATCTATTGGGGACTACTCTGAGTACTATAAATTTGAATTAGTTTCTTATATATCTTGGTTATGAGACTTAGGGAAAGTTGCTGAAAATATTTTTTTCCCAATTACACATTTCTTTTCTAATTTTTACATTAGACTTGTATATAGAAACCTTAAATTTTATGTAATCAAAATTGCCTATTTTATCTTGTATAATCTTCTCTATTTAGACATGAAAGTTTCTATCCACAGATCTGAAAGATAATTTCTTCCTTACATCTCTAATCTGTTTATGATGTGACTTTTTATATCTGGGTGATATTTCCATTTGGAGCTTTGTGTAAGGTGAGAGGTGTTGGTCTAAACATAGTTTTTATGTTTCTGGCTCAATATAAGGAAGAACTTTCCCACAATTAGAAATATCAAAAAATATAATGCACCATTTCATTGGTACTGTGTTCCCTTTTTTTGGGAGTTTTTTTTTTTTCTTTTTGGCTAGGCAATGGGGTTAAGTGACTTGCCCACGGTCACACAGCTAGTAAGTGTTATGTATCTGAGGCCACATTTGAACTCAGGTCCTCCTGACTCCAGGGCCAGTTCTCTATCCACTGCACCACCTAGCTGCCCAGGGAGTTTTTAAATAGACACTAAATGATTACCTGCCATGAAATTTTGCAATGAACGGGTCAGACACTTGGCCTCTAAAGCAGAATGTAAGCTCCGTGAGGGTAAGAATGTTTATGTTTTAAGATGTTTTTCTTCATATTCCTAGGAACTAACAGTGCTTTGCACAAAACAGATGGCAGATAAATGTTTGTTGAATTAAATTAAAATCTCTCCTAACCACAAGAGAGCCTGTGCCACTGGGATAGGACTACCATGAGCAGCTACCAGTTTTGTCTCTTCCCAGTCCCCCTCCCTTCCTGTGTATCCAGTGCTTTCCTGAGATTTTTCCAAAACTCAGAGTAACTGGCAGAGGGATCAAACAGGCAAGAGTGTCTTTCCCAGGCTCAAAACAATTTAGTGAGATATGCTGACTGCCTGGAGAGCACACTTCGTGGAAAAGGAACTCAATTCTCTTGCTTAGCAACAAGAGAGGGCTAGGGAACTTTGAGATAAGCAGGTTTCTTCACAACACCTGAGGGGTCCCTCTGTGTTAACTAATTCAGGGGGCACAAGGGCTTTGACTTTCTTATTGCAAGATCCATAGGACTTTCATAAAGAAGATTCTGGGAGAAATGTCAACCACAGAGCATTGAGGAGTTCCTGGACCAAAGCAAGGTGTTCCTGTGCCAAGCTTAGATCTACAGGAACACAAGCAGATGGGGCAGTGAGGCAGAAGTGGAGTTATAGAGTAGTTTCTCGACCAAGCCAAGGACTTGTTTCAATCTAGAAGCTGTGGAAGGAAGAATCAAGGAACAAACCCAGACCTCAGCCTTCCCTTGCACTGTGAGTCATGTGGCTTGTGCAGGTCAGGTGGGGAATGTTAACTCCAATAATCCTACATATTTTCCCCACCTGTGAAGGACTAAGCTGAATGTACTGGTTCCACAGATTTTGCTAAGGATGCCAAAGACTGGATCTGGTCTCTGAGACATCAGCTTATGAGTTACTCATTCCCTAACTTATAATTCCATCATTAGTACAAGTAGTTCTATAAATTGTAAGGTAAGTGTTATAACGTAGCTCCAACAAATTTACCAGACTGAAGACATATACATTTGAATACTTTCACCAACTACCATTTTTGTTTCAATATGACAGGCTGAAGTGCAAATCAAACTTACATGTGTTCAAATTTCATCGATTTCATTAACCACCATACAAGTTTTTGACAATCAAATGGAAAAAAACAAAGTATTTCATAGGATCATAGATTTAGAGCTAGAAAGGACCTGGGAAGTGATCTTGAACAGCTGAAGCAAAGGCCTTCAGCTCCTTTAGTCTATCCTAATTACAACTAATCCTCATTTATTTGGTGTCCACTAAATCATAATTCTGACAGAGGCTTGGTTGACATTTAAATCCGTGACAGGCAGTTTGCTCCACCTGAAGGGAATAAACTCAGAGTTTAAGATCACAGCATTAGAGCCCCAAAAGGACCTTCGAAGTAGTTTAGTAACTAGTCCAATCCCTTCAATTTACAAGTGAGAAAACAGGCCCAGCTAGGTTAAATAATTAGCCTAAGGTCCCAAAGGCAATTCCAAGTCTCAGGCTCTTTTCACTACACCACACTACTCAAACTGTAATTATAATCCATCAATACCTGGTGCATGTTGGGTTAGTGCTTTGATAAACCAATGGTAGTGCCAGGTCTAGAATTTCAGTTTACTCATAGCAAGTTCAATATTGTTCCTACTGAAGCCAAGATTCTATGATGACTGAGCCTGAGTTATCTTGACATTATAAGAACCAAGATTTCTGGTTTCTTACACTCAGCACAACCATGTCTCTCCCTATTCATACCCTCAAATTTTCAGTTCTCCATTGAAACACAAAGTCAGGTTAGAGTTAGAGGGTGGATATGGCATTCATGCCATGGAAAACATGGCTTTAGTGGTTTCCACCTTTTCCCCCATCCTAAGTCCAATTACTTTTTTAAAGACAAGGAGGCACTAGGGTGGCCCACAAGGAAGACATTAACTAGGTGAAAGGATCCTCGAATAAAAGGTTGCTGGTCCATTTTATGTTAAAATAATACTGACTGCCCTTCAGGAACCATTACAAAAACAAGATAAGGCTATCTCCAGTGCACAAAAATTTAAATACACACAGCCAAGAAACTGAGACTTTTTTTTAATAGAAATTGCCAGGTATAGCCATGGCAGTCAAGGCTTAGAAACCATCATTTAAGTTTTCAAACAAGAATGTGTAAGAATACACCTGCTAGTGAGATAACAATCCTGAAAAAGAATTTTTATTAACTTAGATTAGTTGCCAACAGCCCGTTTCCTGGTAAATAACCACGACTGTTGTTATACATAAACTAGTTACACATGTCACTGCTTGTTCCTCATAGATCACTGTATATAGCTTTTAAAGATTAAAATCCAGCTTAAACTGGTACAGAAAATCAAGTTGTCTTGCAACACTTGCCAGACATAGTCAAACAGAGCTATTCAAGTAATTACAAAATTTGCTTACCAACCAAACCAGTGTTAATCTTTTATTTCCTGTAGATTGAGCTACATTAACTCACCCTTTCTGCTTGTTGACTTTTACATTTCTTTCATTTGTGTATTGAAAGATCAGCCACTGTGGGAACTCTAACACCGCCCCCCCCCCCCCATATTCAGCAACAATTACTCTGGAGAAGTAATAACCATTCTCTAGTGAGACCCTTTCTTTTCAAACCATTTTAAGGCAAAATGTGTCAAATTATTTTTTTAAACTTCCCTTTCGTGTAGAAAGGAAATTCTACCCAAATTTGTCCCTGATTGGCAACAGCCTTCTGCCTCCTTTATGAAACTCAAATAATAAAGTCCTGCAAAAAAATAAGGAAATTAGGAGAGGCAGCATAGGCTTGTGGAAGAAACACTGCGCTTGGAATAATAGGCTTAGAGAGGGTAGGAGGCTTGGAGATCTTCAGTCCTCTCTTTACTTACACAGGAAGAAACTGAGGTCCAGATAAATTAGGGTCACACAAAGTAGCAGAGCTGTGATTCAAATCCAGGTCCTTTGGATTTGAATCCAACAAATAAGGTTTTCTTTCCACTAAACCAGCACGGGTAAACATTCAAGATCTGACTCACTTCTTTAAAATAGGGATAATTAAACATGTCTTTCATTTACCTAGAACTTTAAGGTTTGCCAAGGACTGTATTTACATGATCCCATCGGATCCTCCAAGCCACCCCGCGAGGTAGGCCAGGCTCAGAGGGATTAAGGGCCAACACTACAGAGAAGGGTCCGAGGCGGGATTTGAACTCGGTTCGTCCCAGCTCAGGAGAGGCTGGCTGTTGCCCCCGGTGGAATTCTGCTTTGTGAGCCAGGAAGCACCGTCGGTGACCGCACCCTCCAGGGATCTCGGGGGTCTTGGGGACCCGAAGCCCCCCCCTTCCTGAGGGCCCAGTCCAGGCCCCGCGGCCCCACGGCCCCGCTTCTTCGCTCCGGGAGGGTCCGAGAGAACAAAGCCACAGCCCAGAGGGCTCAGCTCCGGCTCCAGCCTCTTCCTCTCCGCGCGCCTCGGGCCCAGGAAGGCCGGCTCCCTCTCCCCTCCCGTCCCCCCGCCCCTCGTCTACGCCTCTGCAGGAGGAAGCCCTTAAATTGAAGGAGGACAAACAAATGGCACGAACCCCGAAAGTCGCCAAGCCGGCTTCCCCACATTGACCCCGGACTTGAGGTCGCGGCCCCGCGTGGTCGCCGAGGAGGCCGGAAGTGAACCCGGCGCGCCGGGCCAGGCGGCCCCTCTAGCCCTCTCTGCCCCTCGGGCTTCCAGCCCAGCCCCGGCCCCTGCCCTCGCGTCCCCGCCCCCGCTCAACTCTATGGCCGAGCGGAAGGAGCCCGAGCTTCCTTCTTCCCGTTTCCGGTGGGTCGGCTGAGCCTGGGGAAGCCAGAGTTCCGCGAAGAAGGTGGGGAAGTGGGGAGGTGTGGGGGGGTGACTCCCCCGAGACCTGGCGGGGGTCGGCGGGAGCGCGAGGCCGCGGGCAGGTGGGCTCCGAGCTGGAGGCGCTGCCTCCTTGTCCGGCTGCTCCGGGCGAGGCGTGGGTGTGAGGGCGGCGGCGGCGGCGACGGCGCTTCCGGGAGGGGGGCACGGAGAAGGCCCGACCCTTCGGCCCTGGAAGCTCCAGTCCCGGGGTCCTGAGGCTTCCTGGGCTTGCCCATGCCCGGCCCCGGCGCCGCCGGCCCTTAGACTAGGAGGCTCCCACGCCAGTTTCCCGCTGTGGGACGAGGGAGTCTCCAGCCTCTTCGAGTGTTGGAGTCTCCGAGTGGTCCCTAGGGCAGGGGCGCAGGGTGGGAGGGTGGGGGAAGTAGCAAAAGAAAAAATAGAAAAGGAGGCACAAGTGGTGGGAGATGGTTGAATGCCCCGGGGACCCCATGGAGTGCATTTCCTTTTTGCTATAGTGGAAAACCTCGTGGCAGGGTGGCCCAGTGAGTGGATACTCTGGGCGGATGACGTAGATGGAGTCCTGCCTCTGATACTGACCCATACTGGCTGTGTGACCCTGGGCGAGTCATGTACTCCGGGCTGGACGCGCTTACATTCTTAAGTTGGAGAAAAGATATCAGCCTGCCTTAGAAGAGGAAATTTATTCATGGGAAATTCCCTAAAATAAATGAGATTACGTGGTCCAGTTGTCTCTCCTTATTCCCCCTATGGGAGGATACAACTCTTATCGTTTTAAGCCAGTTTAGCGTTGAGAAAGGCTAGTGTAGTAGAAGGGACCCTAGACTGGGAAGAAGATCCTACCACAGTTTACTCAGCCTGTTGTTCACCTCAAAAGGGGTTGCTAGTTATTGAGATAATTTGTGTGAAGGCATATTGTGAACTATACAGATGTTTGGCATTATTATTGTTATTTATTTTAATGATGTCATTTGGAAAGTTTGTTGAAAAAATGAATTAATTTGACCTGTTCTTTGCATGTCTCTTCAAATCTGCTGGTTTAGTCCTTCCTTACCACAATTACACTGTTCTCATCTCACTTTTACTGGTAGTAGCAGTTGGGTGTTGGTTTATAGTAACATATTAGGTATTGTAAAAGTTTGCTAAGAGATAAAAGGGACTGGAAGCTTAGTTTTCCATGGATATGACTAATTCAAATTTTTTTCATTTTTCACCATCAGTTTTCTAGTGTAAAACTTCAAGGTCCTCAACAGTGTCAGGAATGGTCCTGCTGTAACATCTTTGGAAAGGTAGTTACTTATTTTTTAAAGGTATTTTAATGACTGGATAAATAAATTACCAATAAACTGTGTGTACTGAATATAAATTCATTGGAGGCTTTATTCATGTGTATTAAATACAGCTAGGAAGGACAGAGATTTGGATGTAGTTGGTGTATGAAGGATGCATATAAATAACTTTAAAATTTATTATGATTACCTGAAATTTTTTTAACTGATTTTATTTTGTTCTTATTCTTACTTCCCCATTCTGCAATAGTTAAGTCTTCTAAAAATTCTGTTATTCTACAAGTATAATAGAAGTAGTAAAGACAAAAAAAAAACTGAGAGAAAAGACATGGGAGAAACCTGGATTAGTCTGCCAATCAATGGCTCTTTGGGTAAAATTAGGATAATATGGATCCCAATTGAATTTCTGTGGTTGAACATCCATGACCCATTCATATAAGGATACCTTCCTCCACCCCCAGAAACAGGTGCATAAATAATGAAAGGTACACAGCCCAGTCTCTTACATTAAATGGAAACTGCTTCTTTTTAACCTAGACCGAATACAAACTATATTGTCTCCCAACAACCCTTAAGTGTTTTTAAAATGCTGGGGACTAGCAAAGGACTATTTTTGCTTCTATTGCTGCTTGTCTTTATTAGTAGAGCTTGCTTAACCTCTTAGAGAGAAATGAAAAGGAAGTAGCAAGTATGAACCAGGCAGTAAACAGCATATTGTCATATACTTGAGGGGAAGCAAAGAGCCCTAAATGTGAAGTCAAATGAACCTAGATTCAAATTGAGCTTCTACCACTTAAACCCTATGTGACCTTAGACAAATCACTCAACTTCCCTTTAAAATGGACTAGATGGTCTCTGAGGTAACCTGCGAGCTCAAAATAGATAATTCTGTGACATGCTATTGGCATATGACTATGGACATTGTAACAACATGGACCTTTTATCCTCTCAGCCCCAGACATGAAGCTGCACTGCTGTACATTATTCATTTCAGCTCTAGGAGCATCTTCATGCCCATCATACTTTTGTTTTCATACAACAGATTGGCCATCTTTTGTGATGTAGTTATTGCCTGTACTAGATAGAATGTGTTTGCAAATTGACAAACTATATTCAGATTTTTCTTGGGAGAACTAAATGGACCTTAGGATTCTTAATGGCAGACTGCTGCCAGACGGCTTTTGTCTTGAATATAGCGACCATGTGTGAGAGTACTTTTAACTTTAATAAAAGTTAAAACAAATTAGAATGTTTATAGAGTCTTATTGCTGAAGTGAACTTCATATTCTCTCACTATATCCAAATGCCCAAAATAAATGATTTAATGCTTCTTTAAAAATCTATAATTTAAATACATAGTTTCAAATACATATTTACTTGATGTTCATTCAGTACTTTGTCATAATATGGTAATAGAAATAATGGGGAATTTGAGGGTTAAATAACTGCCTATGTAGATTTTTGTGTTTGTGATTTTCATATTTGGTTAACCAAGCAGACTTTCTCTGATTTTACATAGGATTTTTCCAAGGACAGCTACAGAGATGATTGATGTAAAAGCTTGGGCTGAGTATGTTGTGGAGTGGGCTGCAAAGGATCCATATGGCTTCCTTACTACAGTGATTTTGGCTCTGACTCCACTTTTTCTAGCAAGTGCAGTACTGTCTTGGAAACTGGCAAAGATGATTGAGGCCAGGGAAAAGGAGCAGAAGAAGAAACAAAGACGTCAAGAAAACATTGCAAAAGCCAAACGGCTAAAGAAGGATTGAGAGAAAAATTAGGTTAAGAAGAAAACCCTTCTCCATTAAAAAGTCTACAGTTAGAGAAAAATCATTCAAAATTATGCAGTTCTTGAAGAAACACTAGGGTGCTTTTGTTGTATTTTGTAACAGTGTTATCTTATCCAACTAAGTTTGACCATGTGAGAAAATTTAAATTCTAACCTCAATGCTATAACTAGTAATTTTTCAGCTTGGGTACAGGAGCTTCTTGGTGCCTGTCAACTGATATTTATACTGCAAATTCCTTAACTCATTTTGCCTTTGCTTTCTGGTAGTTCATGCGCTAAAGTGAATCTTATGTTAGAGAAGAAAATGTCTTAAGAATGTGAATTGTTGTCTAATAATGGCTTAAGTTTGGGATCCTATTTATGGACAAAGATTTGGAAAATTGAAAATTAAGGGTTTTTTTCCCCACTGGGGGACAGGAAAAATATTCTTCAGTTATTTTTTTTTTTAAACACTATTTTCGTGACACTTGGATGAATCTATGATTCATTCTGTTGTGTAATTTGCTCCACTAGGGCAGATCACTTCCCTTGCATGTTTTCTTCATCCTCTGCAATTGTTGTTGATGTCATTCCATAAATCTTTCAGAGGATCCACCCAATGGGCTAGCTGTCTTCCTCTAGTTCTTTTAATATTGGTGCTTGGGAGAACCAATGTAGACTTGGGCTATCTGTCTTGTCTCCTCACTATTAAACTAGCCTACCTCCTTTTCTGATCATGCGTGTCCAGATGATGTACTTCATCCTATCCTACAGTTCTTATTCACATTTGTTTCTTTGATATGGAATCATTTCTGGGAGCAAAAGCAAATCTTGATCAAGTAACAGTTTTGGTTTCTGCATTGTTAATGTTAACTACACTTGGAAAATACTGGCAATGTGACTGTAAGACATTTCATATTTGCTTAATTTTAACACACTGTAGAATTGTTCCGTGCTTTCTTTTTTGACTACATAGCATATTATATATTACTCAAACAGAATTATGTGCAGTTATAAAGACTGCTATCCATCTTAGGAATCACCTGCAGAGAAGAATTTAGGATTGCTGTAAATATGCCAGACTTAATAGGATCCAGCTTATCCATACTCGTATTGTACATAAGAGTGAAATGGTTTAAAAAAAAAGTTTTGTTAGATGATTCTTCAAATACATACTTTTTTATCTATTATTTCATTTTTAACCTATGTGGTGGCAGTCAGGTAACTTCATGTTAAAGGTCAGTTTCTTGAGGCATCTTGAAAACAAGTCCCAAAGACAAAACAAAGCCCTTTTTCATTTGCTCTGTTGGGATGGAAAGACAACAAGGTATGCAAATTAAATTAGAATGAAAATAGTTTTGTTTTTTTAAAAGTTTCAAGCAAAAGGCTAAAAATAAGTATTTCTCCTTCCCTTTGTGAAAAATAATTGTTTAGTTAAATTTTGTGTATGCTTTTTATGACCTAGTACACTATTAAACTTTAATGGCTATGATCATTTTTTCATTTTAAATAAATTAAAAAATTTTTAAAGTGTGTTAATCTAGTTATCCTAATTTAAGAAACAAATTAGTTATATAAATAAATTTGATACTTTTTTAAGATGTGGATTGTCTTCATATTTATTAACTGTGATGCAAATTGTTTTTATCAAAATACTGCACAAATTTGATCAAAATGAGAAATCTGTCTGAAAATTTACCACATTTCTGAGAATGGCATAGACCATTGTAACCATTGAACTTCCTAAGGAGTAACACTTATACTAAATCTGCAAGGTGTCCGAAGATCATTTTTTAATCTCTCTTCCTTCTTTTACCCTGTAGTTGATGCTCATGTTGAGTGAATGTCTACTTTATCATACTTTAACACTATCTTTCATAGGGAATTGATATCTGGACCACTGGTAGGACGTGTGCTTTTGAGTTTTCATTGTTGATGCTTTCTGCTTCTCCTTACACTGTACAAGTCATAACTTCCTGGGTGCAACAAGAATTTTTTTTTTTTGACTAGACAGTGACTTACCCAGGGTCACACAGCTAGTAAATGTTATGTGTCTGAAGCCAGATTTAAACTCAGGTCCTCCTGATTCCAGGGCTGGTGCTCTATCCACTGTGCCACCTAGCTGCCCCCAACAAGAATCTTAGTGTTGAACATTATATTAGTATTTGAACATTCTTTCAAAGCAAGTTTTAGGGTTGGTTGGTTTATTTCTGCTGCAGTAATTCATGACTATTGGTCTTTTGGTCAGTATTTCCCACCAGTCCTCACAATTGAAATGTGTAATAAATTCTACCCCTGTGTTATTCCAGTATTTGGAATTTGGGCTCCCAAGTTAAAGAACTATACCAACTGTTTGTCATGGTTCTTTCAGTTTTGTCCAAGACTTATGATACCTTCCTATGAAAATGAGAGAACTACAAAGTGCTAACCAATTGCTTGGAAAAAAGGTTTTGCTGCATCGTTTAAAAGTGAGCCATAGAATAGCTCCAAATGTTTTCTCGAGAACTCTCGAAACAGGAAATGTTTACTCTGCATCTACTATGTGAGGCCAAGCTGGAACCTTGAATATGAAAATGAAAAATTCTTGCTATCAAGGAGCTAACATAAAGGGTGTGGGGGAGAGGTCTGTATGGTACAACATGACATGTAAATACAGGGTAATTTGAGGAGAAAAAAACCTTAATCACTGGAGGTGCCAGGTTAGACTTCCTGAGTGATTTGGAAAGAACCTAAGAATTCTTAGAAGCAGAAGTGAGGCGAGAATACACTGAAGACATCAAGGATGTGGATGGAAATTAGAGGTGGAATTACAGGTTCAGGACCGCTGGTAGACCAGTTTGACTGGGATGTATAATGTGTGGGGAAAACAATAAGGAAATAAAGTTTAGCACACTAGGTTGTGGACAGCTTTAAAGGCCAGGCAGTAGGGAACCACTGGAGGTTTTGAGTAGGTGAGTGACAGTCTGATTAGGCCGTAAGTTATTTTGACATCTGCATAGAGGATGGATACCAGAAGGAAGAGACTAAAAGATAAAGCAATTTAGAGGCTATGGAAATCGTCCAGGGTAGTGGTTTTTTTTTTTTAATAGAAAAAGGGGAATAGATAAAACCTACAATGGAGGCAGAATCAACAGTATTGGGCAAATGGATGTGGAAGATTAGTCAAGAATGACTTCAGGGTTGAAAAGCTTGAAAGAATTGTGGCGCTGTCAACAGAAATAGGAAAGTTATGAGTAAGGACAGGTTTAGGGAGTGAGATAAGTTGTTCCATTTTGGCCATGCTGAGTTTGATCAGTTGGTGGAACATCCAGCCAGTGAATGTTCAACTAGAAGGGGAGAGAGAGGGAGGAAGGAAAAAGAGAAAGATTGGGTTGGATATATAGATGTAGGAATCATCGGAATAGAGATAATGAAGACCATGAGATCATCAAAGAAAAACTAAAGGTAACAGAGAGTTCAGGATAGAGCTTTGAGGGACACCCATACTCAGTACCTGGGATAGATGATCTAACGAGATTGAGAAGCAGCAATATTAGAGGGAGGAGAAGCACTTCCCCAAAGCTAAGGGAAGAGAGATCCAGCAGGGTGGGATTGACTCAAAAGTTACAAAGAGGTCAAGTAGAATAAAGAGTGAGTAAAAGACATGAGACTTCATAGTTAAGAGATCATTGATTATCTTGGAAATAGCAATTTCATTTGAGTGCTCTGGTCAGAGCCCAGATTATAAGGGGAGGTAAGGACATGGAGGCACTGCATGTAGATAACATTTCTTAAGAGTTTGAATATAAAAGGAAGAAGGAATGTAGGATCATAGCTTTAGAATTAGGAAAAATTTTAGAGACCATCATTTCCAACCATTTCATTTTTTGGATACAGGCTAAAAGTGCATGTCTGACCATGTCACCTCTCCTTTTCAATAAACCCCAGTGGCTCCCTATTAAAGTTCTTCATAACCTGACCCCTTCCTAACTTGCCAATCTTCTTACACTTTAGCCTCATCCCCACCCCCATGTACTCTTTGATCCAGTGACACTGGCTTCCTTGCTATTCCTCGAACAAGACACTCCAAACTCCTACCTCGTGACATTTTCTCTGGCTGTCTCATATGCCTGGGATGCCCTGCCTCCTCATCTTTATCTCCTGGCTTCCCTGGCTTCCAAGTCCCAGCTAAAATCCAAATTTCTACAGGAAGCTTGTACTGATCTTAAAGCTAGTGCCTTCCTTCTATTGATATTTTTTCTAATTTATCATATATATATATGTATATGTATACACATACACACACACACACACACACACACACACACACAGCCACAGCTTTTTGGCTCCCTGTGAGACAAATGGTCATATTTTACTGCCATCTTGTACACTTCTTGGAGAAGTTCCCTGTCTTCTGTTACTGTAACATACAAAATGTCTAGAGCAGCTTATTAGCTACCCTGTGTCCTCTTCTCACTGTTTATCCATTCATATCTATATTTGCATACATTTTTCCTTTCATATGTCATAGTGCATATATGTATTGTTCTTCCGGTTATTATTTCTTTGGCAACACTTCTTATGTCATTCCAAATTTCTTTGTGTTCTCCATATTTGTAATTTTACTTGTATTATAGTATTGAATTATATTGATATACCACAATTCTGTTCTTAATGCTGGACATTTGGATTATTTCTAGATCTCAGTAACAAATAATAATGCTTTCTTTCTCTCCCTCTTTCTCTTTGTCTCACATATATATATCTATATCTAGCCAAATGTCCAATATTAGTGAACGATTAAACAAACTATGATAAATCAACAAAATGCAATTAAAGTGACAAATATGGAGAAAATAAAGAAATTTGGAAAGATACATGAAACATAGCCGTATCTTTATATATAGATAAAGATATAAAGGGAGCTGTATTATCTGTCATTGAAAAGAGATAGAAACAATGCAAATGTCCCACATTTGTGAATGTCTGAATAAACTGTGGTATATCAATAAAATTTAATAGCATTAGGCAATTAAAATGATAAATATGGGGAATACAAAGGAATTTGGAAAGATACATGAATGCTAAGCAAAGAAACAATAATAGGAAGAACAATGCAGAGATACACTTGATTATAATGTATGAAATGAAAAAATGTATGTGCAAATACTGGTGAATAGATAAACTAAGAGAAGGGGATTCAGATTGAGTAACTAAAAAAATCATAAGCTCTTATATGTATATGAATAGGTATAGAGATTGCCATATTATATATTTTACATATATCTATATAGTATATGCATGTAGCTATATATAAAGTAGCATTTGTCCATATAGTGATATATGCATATATCTGTAGAGAGATTGTGTGGTATTATCTTTCAGTGAAAAGCGCTGGAAACATTCAAATGTTCGGTATTTGTGAATGGTTGAGTACATTTTGGTATATCAATAAAATAGATGTCAATACAGAAGTGGTTGCATGCATGTGTGTGTGTGTGCGTGTGTGTGCGTGTGTGTGAGTGATGGGACTGGCACATGTACAGAATTTCTTTGATGGCAGCCTGCTTCAGGTAGAGTCATGATGATGAGTAATGGAAATGCCTTGGAGAGATGTTGGAGCATCTTATAACTGGTTATGGTTGGCTAGCCATATAGTGAATGTATGGTACGGTGACTAAGAGTGCTAGACTTGGTTTCAGGAAGACTGGAGTTTGATTCCCATCTCAGATATAATAGCTATGTGACCCTAGGCAAATCATCTTTTTTCATACTCAATTTTGTCATCTGTAAAATGGGGACAATAATGGCATCTACCTCGTAGGATTGTTATGGAGATCAATTGAGATAATATATGTATAATGCTTTATAAACTTTAAAGTGCTGTGTAAATGCTGGCTATTGAATAAAAGGTTCTTTGGCTGCAGAGGCATTCAAAAAGGATTAGTGACTTAAGACGGTCATTTTTTCTTTCAGCTGCTTATTAATGGTGCATCTCTGACTCCTTCATTGAAAGTGTCCAGCAAGATACAGTGTTGTAAGCAGAGAGATCTTAGTCCTTCTACCCCTTCTCAGGCCACTGCACCTTCAAAATGAGCTTTGGTCCTTAGCCTATTCACTTGTTCTTTTCTATTTTACATGAAGGCATTAAAGAATTAAAGGCATCTTAACATCCCAGTGTCCCAGTATTCTAGTCTAGGACCGTTTTGCAGACAGTTCAACTTCAGTGCCTCCAGGAACAAGGTGTGACCTTTAGACCAGGAAGACGTGAATTCAAATCCAGTCTCAGATACTAGCCATGGGACCGTGGGCAAGTCGTTTAACCTCTGTCTGCCTCAGTTTCCTCAATCGTAAAATGAGGATAATAATCACACCTACCTTACAAGGTTGTTGTGAGGATCAAATGAGATATTTGTAAAACACTTGGCATAATGCTTAGAACATAGTAGGTTCTATATAAATGCTTATTCCTTTCCCTCTTTTCCTTCCCTATTCTTATCTCCCAACCCCAGTGACAAGGACTAATTCCCCTGAGGCACAGTGGAGCTTTTAAGGT